AGATGATTAGTTAATTCATGTAAAAACTTTAAGATAAACAGATATTTGTATTATTTATCTAGAACAGTCTAAGAGTTGTCTGAAAATATTCTCTCGGCTAATAAGTACAGACGATTTTGTAGCGACAATAGTCTTAATAGGATCTCATAAATTTCATTGTACCTTTTTTATAGTTTCTTACATCTGTAATGCCAAGTACTATTTTAACTACAACGAGCTCTACATCAACAATGATTCCTTTGACCACGATTACGACTACAAGTACTATAATGATTTCAAGTACGACTTCCATGTCAAGTACCCTTAGAAGTACAAATGCAAGTACTAAAACAACTCCAAGTCTGACAACAACAAATAGAACAATATTAACAACTATCATAAAAAACACAACAATAACAGCAAGTGAAACTTCAACAACAACAACTACAATAATGTTAACGCCCACTGAAACATCAATGAGTCTAATAACTGAAAATGTTGAATTGACTTCAACAACTAATTTCTTTCATACAACAATAACTATGAATGCTGCTTCAACCACAACATCTGTCAATCTTTATGTTATTATTTTAGCCACTGTTATTCCGATTGGCACGGTTGCATCCATTATTGTAATCATCTCACTTAAATATTTCGTCTGTAACAAAAAATCAAAAGTGCACCATTTTGAAATGAAGGAAGTGAAACCAACAGGTGCATAAAATATGGTCGAATTCTTTTAACTGACTACAATGTTGTTCACTATCAATTATATTGATAAACGAGGTTTTTGTTTTCGCATGTTGTATATACAACTCTATGTCGATTCGATTGCGATTCTACGCAAAATATTCATTCTTGCATTTGTTTTTATTAATACCATATTTTGAAAATATGAAACGAATCAAATCTTCAAAATAAATCTTACACATTGCAAAGCATATTCTATTTATTAAATCTTAAAGTCTATCTTTAAATAAGCAATATTAATATGAACTTATATTGATATTGAATTAGAAAAATTTTCATTCGAAACTTTTATATGAAAGAAATTCTTAGACTTTTATTTTTGTCTAGTATGTTATGAATTTCATTTTCAATGATTTTGTTTTTTTGCCAAGAGAAATTTAATAACTGGTATGAATTGATTAATTAGCATTCTTTCATAGGGTATGCTATATCAGATATTCTTGTAAAGTTATTAATAGTCGACGTGACAAAATAAAATTTACCGAAAGAGATCAATCTGTTGATAAATTATTATTTAGCAAAAACAAGATAGCTCTATTTTTCTATGATATCTCTACAATAGTAAAGAACTAGTCTACAAACAAAACGTAACTACTGATTGAAGGAAAAATGGAGACGAAAAAGTTCATACGAGGAGTCAATAGGATTTTTTCGATCTGACCGATCAATTGAAATTATTCATCTAACAAATGAAAACTGATTGGTTCAAATACAGAGTATGAGCTATAAAATACAGCTTGAGGTTAGAGTTCATTTATTTAAGTTTCTCAATAACTAGATATTTTCATAGATCTTTACTTTCAACAGAATTAAACTTCTCATAAGTGGCTAAGGTTTTTTGATCATAATAATTCCACACAGCATAATTCAAGGTCCTTATATCGTAGAATGACAACGCGTGAGCTCAATATTTGAAGTTAAGATTATGATGCTGACTACAAATTTTTCATTTGTAAACGTTCAATTAGCGATATAATTCTCGTCATTTATTACAAATATTTCTTCAAAATCTTTTTCATCAATTATTTTAATTTTGATAACGATGATCTGTAAAAGAATGCAAACTCAGCAATGGGTTACCATTATCTGATAACTACTAATAATATTTTCAAGTGGATATCTGTCTTCCTATGGATTCTACTAAAAATAATATTATAAAACACGAATGAATATGTTGTTATGACTGTAGGTGAAGTGTTGCTGAACTTTATTCTTCTATGATGATTGTTGATGAGTGTGTATAATTATGAAATAATACAAGGAGTATAGACATCTCGAAGTGAATTTTTTTGATAAACGTAAAAAAAAATCAGTTGGATCAAATTATTTAGATCAATTGTATAACATAATTTCTAGTTTTTGCTCTCATACATCATATTCATATACTTATGTATATTGTACGAGTACAACTTTGATAATGCTACACAAGCGAATAATTGGTTAATAACAACAATATTAATGCAATCGTTATTATAGAGCTGGACTATTCAAAACAAATGAATGGCACTTTCTGATGTATTACTGATTTGTGAGAGAAAATATTACTCAATCATCATTTCTTACCATATTATTTTTTTTATTCGCCTAGTAAAACCAGCAAGCGCCTCTTATGTTCATAACTATAGAGTGTAGATATTTAACAATAGGACATGTATTATATAACGATAACTACTGCCTAAAGCCAATCAGATACCACTAGGACATGTGTACTCGGTAAGCATCATGTATAAACAACGATTTTCGACTATTAAACTGAATTGATATGATTCACAAGCGAAAATTATTTAGTACGATTAATGTGGAACATAATAAAATTTTTCTTGCTTAAAAGTCTATCAAACAGTATTTATACTTATCTATTATTATTTAATGTTGATTGATGATTAAAAATGTATTACAAGACGTAAATTAAAGGAAGTTTTGTGAAAATGAAATAATTATTTCTATTATAAGTGGTTCATTTAATGGATAGACTGACTAGACGTCTAATGATATTCTTCACCACAACATATGATTAAAATATACAGTAGCCTTCATTATATGCATGTTTTATTAAAGTATTTTTATAATAGTTTTTGAGTGCAATTTTCATATTTAAATATCATAATCAATACATATATGTCATAATGATGATTTTTATAAAATCACAGTTTATCAAAATGATAGTGATATGTACACATAGATTAAAGAGAAAATATACATCTTTTTTAAGAAATCTAATTTAGGAGCAAAGACTAAAATGACAATTTCAATTGAAACTACTACTTTAGAATTCATCTATGCTATTTCAATTGATTATTTACTACTTGTATCGATTTCTGTATTGAAACAGCACAAATTCTAAGTGTATCTGTGAAATGAAATCAATTACGATAATTTATTCAATACAATGTATATTCTTGAATGTAGTTGCGCATGATTTTTCTAAGTTAACAAGATCTTGATATGCAATCTACTCATAATATATCATTCATTAGTAGAATAGTTCGAAATAACAACAATAGCCCAGTTTCACAAGACTTTGACAACACAAGTTTTGCCAAGCACTATAAGCGAAACAAAGAATTTGACTGTATTTATATATTTACGCAATATTCATTTGTTGATCGATTTTTGTCATTGAAAAAAGCAACTAAACTCCTAATAATCATGCTCTGCATTGAAATCATTGTTTGAAATAAATGAGTGAAATAGTATTCATATTGATCAATATCAACAATTGTATGAAGTCTCGATACTGAGTAAAAAGTACATATATTTCAATCTTTTTGCTTGATATCTTGATTACAAAATTGAGATCGGCAAATTTTGATCACAAATATTAATTTAAGGTTAATTAGCTTGAATGAAATGAATTTAGGAGGAAAAAATTATTTTATTGAGTAAAGCTTTTAAAAAAAAAAGCATCTTTTGATATTTTGATGGTTCTTTACTATTTTCATACGTTAACATTCATTTTCTTATTAACAAATAAAATTCCATTGTGTGACAGATAGGATAATTTAATAGACTACAATGCTAAACCATCGAGAAAACTACTTTTGTTTGAAACGATTTCAATCTAAAATATTCTCTCCATCGATGATTGAAATCTTGAAATTTTCCAGAAAAACTTGATTAGAAAAGAATATTCGCTAAACTATATTACTAAGCAAATACATGAAATTAGTCAGAATTATAGCTTTATTTCTCAATCAAGTGTACTCTATAAGACTTTATTATAATACTAATCCTAGTTAAAATCATTTTTTCAAATAAAATAATACTTTGATTGAGTCTAATGTTCTTCAACTATCAAAAATTTTATTTAATATTTGTAGAAAATTGAATTAATATATGATTAGTTGCTGATTGAGTTGATGTCCTTGAATGAATAATCTTTTACATCTAGAAATGACAATATTAACAACATTGGATGAATCCATTAGATGATAAAGAGAATGATGATTCATCAAATAAAACATTAATCATTGTCGTATTTACAACAATACTTTGTTTGATTAATTGTCTCCATTGATATTTGGTTTTTGGATTAAAAAATTTCTTCCGAACAGAAAAATGTTTCCATTTAAATCAGAACACAATAGAGTGTCAAAAAAGTCTTTAAAACGATTATTCAGTTTCTCTTTGATTGTAAAAGTGATGACTAATATTGTATCATAAATAAAACCATTAAGATTATTATTGTTTGATACTAAAAGATAGACTGAAAATTTTCAGATAAAATATTTGTTTAGTTTTGACTTCCTTAGAAATATTTTCAAAGAGTTAAAATCTATGGATAACGACCAAAATATTGGCCACACTTTTCAAATACAGCCTTTGAAATTTGATCTCAATTCTTATTTCGAGACTAATCAAGGAATTTTTTTCAATGTCCAAAAAAATAAGATTTAATGGTAAACCTATAGACGTTTACTAACCTCTATAAGTTTCTTTTCGAAGATGCCAATAAATATTCGAGTCAATGGTTTTGTCAATCAGACACTTCGTTATAAAATTCCACATTGAGTTAGGCTAAGGTTTCTACCTAAGTGAAACTATCGGCACTGTCCCAAATGCTTCTTCCTATAAAAAAACGTTTTTTTTAATTAGAAACTCGATTTTTCAAACATGAGAACTTAAGAAAAACAAAAAATGAAGTGATCAATAGAAAACCTTTAACAGTACATTTTCTAAGATAGCTTCTGTTCTACAAGTTAATATATTAATAAAGATGACAGTATTAACTTTCGAGTTGCAATAATGAGAGTACAAAAATGTACGGAAAACTTGATTTTTCGATACATACTATAGATATTACGACAGTCAGGTCAATATTTAAGTCTTTCGCAATTATCTATTACTTAATTCACCTTCTAGTTACGTAATGTCATCTTTTTTCGAAATTTTCGAAACAAGTACCGTATAGTTTCAGAAGTTGCAAAAAGTCATCAGATAGACACGAATGTTTTCAATATATTTTGATAAACCGTTTCATTATTGAATTGTTGAGATTAAACATTTGACATATATCAGTACTTAAAGGCAGTAATATTATACATATATACTGAAATCTTTAATCTCAAGAATAAAAAATTTCTCGACATAATTATAAGAAATTTCTATCTATCGGATGATTTTAATAGTTCTGATTTGGTTCTCGATGGTTCCAATTTTTGTCGAAACCCGCTGAACTCTAAAGTATAATATCATATCTTGTTGTATCTTATAATTTAATTATCAAAAATAATGTTTAGTAATCATATTTTTGGTCTATATAAGATTCTCTTCTAGATCCATTATATTACAAAACAAACGATATCAATAACAAAGAATTCGTCGTTCAACAGTGATCTATCTGTTATTCTAATAGTTTCAGTTAATACCTTCATATGATTAAGTCAAAATAATCTTTGAAACTCTATTATACTTTGATGCGTACGTGACTTTTATATTATTAATCTTAGTGATTAACTTTCTACACTTCTTC